TTCCAGTCAAGGGCATGTACCTCGGTTGTAGGCTTGATCTCTGGCTGTGGTCGGGGCACATGCAGGAAGCAACCGATCCATGTGCCTCAATCACATTTATATATCTCTCTCTGTCTCTGTCTTTCCTCTTCCCTTCCACACTCTCTTAAAAAATCAGTGGAAATGCCGGAACCGGTTTGGCTCAGTGGATAGAGCGTCGGCCTGCAGACTGAAAGGTCCCAGGTTCGATTCCGGTCGAGGGCATGTACCTGGGTTGCGGGTACATCCCCAGTAGGAGATGTGCAGGAGGCAGCTGATCGATGTTTCTCTCTCATCGATGTTTCTAACTCTCTATCTCTCTCCCTTCCTCTCTGTAAAAAATCAATAAAATATATTTTTAAAAAAATCAGTGGAAAAATATCCTTGGTTGAGGATTAACAAAACAAAAAAATTTTACAGATTGCTTTACATTTTAACTTATTTAAGTCCATCTTAAATAACACTATACAGCTTCATGCAATGTACAGGTAACTTAAAATATCCCAATTCCTCTCTCTCATTTATCCCTTAAGACTCTGCTGTTATTTATTTCCTTTATCCATTTGCTACAATCACCCAATACATTATTCTATTATTACTTTAGCAATAAACTGTTATCTGTTAGATCAATTAAGAATAAGAAAAATAAAAAATATTTTACTTTCATTTATTCCTTCTCCAGTGTTTTCTTTTCTACTTGTAGATGTGAGTTTCTGACTTATATCATTTCCTTTTTCCTAAAGCACTTCTTTTAATATTTTTTGCAAGGCATTCTTCATTTCTGTTACAGTGTTTTAAAATTCTAACATTTGCTTTTGACTCTTTTTTAAAGTTTCTATCTCTCTACTTATATTACCCATCTTCTCTTGTACCTTATCTACTTTTTCCACTAGAGCCCTTAGCATATTAATCATAGTTATTTCAAATTCTCTGTTTGATTCCAATTCCAAATTGATTGGAATTTGGATTGGAATTAGAAATCTGGCCTTAATTCCAAAATATGTCATATCAGTCTGGTTCTATTACTTGCTTTGTCCTTCAGACTTTGTTTTCTCTTGTCTTTTAATCTGCCTTGCAATTTTTGTTGAAAGCCTGCAGGATGCATTGGGTAATAGAAACAGAAGTCAACAGTTGGCTTTAGGTTAATGAGGTTCTATGTTAATCTGGATAGAAGTTGTGCTATGTTTAATGTTTGCTGTAACTGTAGGTGCTGAAGTTTTCAATGTCCTTATTTAATCTCCCCCCATTCATGGTGGGTTTTCCTAGAAATTTGTCCTCAGAGTCTTCATCTTACAGCTCTTTCAGCTGTAATCCACTGTTACTATACTGGAACCCTATTGGTGCCTGGTAAGGAGTGGGGAGGGAAAGTGTTATGGTGTTGTAGACTCCTTATTCCTAGGAACATGGCTTCTCCTTTAATCAATGTATTCCAGATCCAAAAACTTGTTGTAGAACCAGTACTAAAATGGAGTCACTTTGAGGACAAAGTGGAGTTTGCCCATGCAGGTGTATTAAAGAGAAATGAAACTCAACCTTAACTAAGGAATTTACAGCTCTCCTCAGAAATCAGCAGAAGACTCCAGCCAATTTCCAATATCAAGTCTGTTCATGTCATCTTTGGATTTCCTTGTTCCTCTGACTCAGCTACCCTGATCCAAATAAGAAAGGAGACCACTAGGCAACCAATCAACTAAAAAGCCAAGTAACTTCTGCATTTGTCCCATAAAAAACTCTTCACTAGTCTTTGAGCAACTCAGAACTCATTGCTCCAGTAGTCTTGAGTTTTCCAGCTTGCAGGTCAAAATCCTTGCCATGAACACATCTTTCTGCTTTGTTTTACTCAGTGTGCAGGTTTATGTCATGGTTCAAGTGCAGAAAATGCCAGTTTTCATTGGAGCAACTGTTCTCAACCTTTTGATCATCCATTCCTAATTTATTTTGGTTGTTCAGGTAGAGAACTTGCTTTCATGGTTGCTCATCCAATTTGCCCCAGAGGCCATGTTCTAGTTACCATCTCTATTTCCTCTGTGGGACAGGGCCCTTTGACTATATTCCCACCTTAAAGCATCCACCTGGCTTCTGATGTTTAAATGTTGCCATGTCACAGGCCCCTATCATCTCTGCTGATCTCAAGGAGCCCAATTCTGAAATGTCATCTTCTGTCTTCATCCTGGACTACAGGGAGAGCCACTGCTGAATTTCTGAGTGATATTGATACCTCCCTCACTAGAAAATTCCTTATTGCTTTGGTAAGTGGTATATTCTCTGAACTTTCCTGTAGAACATATTCATATGCTGGGTTTTCCACCTTTATATAGGTATTTTCACTCTAGTACGTTCACTTCTTTGAGCTACTTAATCCCCTCTTACATTGTTAACCACGGAATGTCTGTCATTTCTACCTAACTTGGTGTACCTGGCCATTGCTTTTGCCACGCTTCTAGATGACATCCTAAATGTGTATTCACCATCGCCTGGGTTTCTTGTATATGTTAAATCATGTATCCTGCGCTACTACTGCCAAATTGATAAAGTCTCTCTTATTCAACTTTATGTTCCACCTTCCCCCTCTTCTATATCCAGAACCTTCAGAATTCATTCCCATGCATACTTTCCTGGCACCTGCTGCTACTTCTTGGCTAGGTTCTACAGCTTCTTTGTGGTTGCTTTCCAATATTATCAGCCCCAGGAAGTCCCTGGAATATCCTATGTTGTGACTTAAACCTAATTATTGCTTGGTGTATCCTGAGAAAGGTGCGTTTTATCCCCCAGAGAGGAGTCCTCTGATTATCTCACACAGAAGGGGAACTTGCTTTCAATAGGGAGGAGTGGGGCATTTTGGCAGGTTCACCAGGTGGAAGGGAATTTAGGGATTTAAGATTTTTCAGGTCTAGCAAACTAAATGTCCCCATCCCATGTGTCACAGGCCCACTCTTTCCCAACCAGGGTGCTAACCTTGACATTTCATGCCTGCCTATGTGGAGAATTTAATCTTCTTTGGAAGTTTCCACTTGGCCTTCTGCTACTGTTATATTTGAATCCTGGGAATGGCCATCAGATTTCTCTGTCTTCCCACCACAGGAGATGAGAATCTGTTTATGTGCTCCCCTGAAGGTCTTCTGGCTTTCATACTTAACTTTGAATTGCAGATTAATCACTCTCAGACTTTCATTATCTCTCTCCAAAGTATCAAGTCCACTTATCAATACTCAATCAAATTCCAATATTCTTAGCTATTATTCCCTCCATACTTTGACAACAGTGCACACTCTTCCCAGTACACCACTGGTGAAAGTTTTAACAATTGCTCTGCTTTCTTGTGGCAATTATGTTCTACCTGCTACCAGTGAGTCATTGCCAGCTAGCAGTGGGTGGCCAACTCCAGAATCCAAATCATAGTGCCTGCTTTTTTGGACCATTCCTCGCACCAAATCTTTCAGGTTGGGTTCCATGAAGAGTAGAATCTGAAGCAAAGATTAGTGCACAGAAAGTTTATTAAAGAGTACTTAGGGTCAACACCTGTGGGAAGACATGGAAGTAGGATCACACAAAGGGGAAAACTGGGCTGTGATGCTGTAGAGGGGCTGGTGGATGGCTCTTCTCTATTCTCGAGACGGTTCTACCTGAAAATCTAAGGTGGATCACCAAGACCAGCCGTGGCAAACTACGGCCCGCGGGCTGGATCCGGCCCGTTTGAAATGAATAAAACTAAAAAAAAAAGACCGTACCCTTTTATGTAATGATGTTTACTTTGAATTTATATTAGTTCACACAAACACT